GACTCATAGTGACCCTGTATAGGGTTTCCAAGGAGGTACTGGTGAGTTTGAACTGCTGACCTTGTGGTTCAAACTGGACTTGTGATCCAGTGCTTATCCTACAGCACCACAAATATTTTAAAAAGATAACAATTATGTGTCTTCTTAAAACTTCTTCAATGGTTTCCAACTGCTATTAGAATTAAATCTCAATCTTTACAGGGTCTTGTGTGAGATGCTTAAATATGAACCTTGACTTTTTGTTAGCTGGGTACTTTACAGAACCTCCTTCTAAGCTGTGATTTTTTACAGTTGTTAAAGGGAATAACAGAAAAATTTTTATAGTGGTGGTGGTGGTGGTTATATGCCATGGAGTTGGTTCTGACTCATAGTCTTTCTATGTATGTACAGGGTTTCTGAGGCTGTAAATCTCTATGGGAGCAGAAAGCCTCATCTTTCTCCTGTGGAACAGCTAGTAGTTTAGGCATAAAAGAATATTTTGATGTTTATATTACAACATCAAACATACTTATATGGACATATGTAATAAACACTTGTGTATCATATACTATATAAGTATATTATGTAATAGTATACATTTATACTATAAATATATTTATATAGATTTTTCACTTAACATTTAGCATGGATGCAGATAGCAAAATGTACATGTTTAGACATAAATATATAAATTTATATATTTTTTCATTAGTAATTATCTTTATTCTCAATTGATAGACACAACATATACTTTACAGTATAAACATTAAGTACTATGCATTTTGCTTATAAAGTGACTTAAAAGTAATTTAAACACTATGTATTTTAAACATTAAATTCAATTTGTAAAAAAAGTAAATTTCCAAATAAAGCTTTGGTTAGTAGAACTTATCATGTACTTTGATACTCATTTTCCAAAGGTGTTCAAGAAAAAAGAAATCTTACCCACTAAAACAAATATTTCTTGTGCAATCAAAGCTTTTTACTATTTACTAAGGGGGAAATGTTACAATAATTTGGTAGTGTAGTAGTTATGTAAGCTCTGGTAGCGCAGTGGTTATGAATCAGGCTACTAACCTTAAGGTCAGCAGTTTGAAACTACTAGCTGTTCCATGGGAAAAAGAGGAGGCTTTCTGCTCCCATAAAGAGTTACAGCCTAGGAAACACTGTACAGGGTTGCTATGAGTTGAAACCAAGTCTCTGGCACACCACCACCACCATGGTGGTTATGTATTGGGCTGCTAACTGAAAAGTCAGCAGTTTGAATCTACTAGCCGCTTCTTGGGAGAAAGATAAGGCTTTCTGCTCTTGTAAAAATTTGCAGCCTCGGAAATCCTACACAGGGTCACTAATGAGTCAGAACTGACTTGATGGCACACCACTACCACCACTCCGTCAGATTCAGCTTTATCCCTCACTTCCCCTTTACATAGGACTTCAGGACAAATCTGTAAGACTGACTGTTGCCATAACTTCCACACACTGCTGAAGAGGGCCATTTCCAGCATTAATGTATTCTCATTTCCCTGGAGAGGGTAACATCTACTTGCATTTAGTTGATATATCGTCACATAACTACAGCACTTAACAACAACAACAAGCTATATAAAGTTCTATGTGAATAAAATTGGAAAGAAAACCACAAAAATGTGATCAAAGGAATTATTTCTTAAGCACGAGTTTCAGGGGAAAAAAAAAAAAAGAGTTTAAGTGATTTTTACTTCCTTCTTTATACTATCCAGAACTTTCTGTTAGGAATAATTGTTACTTTCACTATTTAAAATAAGGGGGGAAAAAAAAAACTGTAGCTATTATTTAAAATTGTTTAAAAGTATTAACTTGATAATGTGTCTAGCCTAAGAACTTGGGGAGTGAGTCCATAAACAAGGTCCATAAAACAAGGACCACCACAGCCTGCTGTTACGTTACAGAACAAGGTGGTTTGGGAGGGTGCCTGTGGTTAACTGCTTCATTAATTATGTGCAAGGGAGAGCTTCTGGATGCCTTAACATGAACACAACCAAGAGAAAGGATCATACAACACTACTTCCGAGAAAGCCTGGATCCCAAAAGACACTTACTTCAGCACCGTTTCCCTCATATGTGTCAATGATGGCATCATGCAAAAATCACTTTAAAAACATCTGCCCCTTATTATAAAGACAATGAAGTGGGTGAGATGGCAGAAGTCAAGCACCAATCAAGTCACATGCAGACTCATGTCATCCTGGGATTGGATTGGCTGATGCTTTTTATTAAAATCTGCCAGAAAATGCTACTGAGCATGGAAGTATTCATTTCATTCCTTTTGACATCCCAGTCTTGGTGTGGCCCTGTGGCTTAATAGAGTGCAAAGCCGTTTGAACTGCAAGGTTGGTGATTCAAGCTCACCAGCTGCTCCTCAGAAACAGGGTCACTATGGGTCGGAACCGACTCGACGTAACTTAACAAATATTACTCCCAGAAAATTATTCTAAGAAAAGAATTAGAGGTGTAATGGAGATTTTCACTTTATGTTGTTGTGAAGTGCAATCAAGTTGGCTCCGAGCCCTAATGACCCTGTACAGGGTTTTGAAGCAACTTTGCATCTCATGCATTAATCCACACCACCACACCAGGACTCATTTTACTTTATGTTGTTGTTGTTAAGTGCTGTCAAGTTGGTTCCGAACCATAGCAACCCCGTTTAGGGTTTCCGAGGAGCGGCTGGAGAGCTTGAACCAGTGACCTTGTGGTTCAAGCCGGACTTTGCAGTCCAGTACAGCGCCACTCCAGGAGTCCTCCTTTCACTTTATAATCATCTTAAATTTCATTAGGGATTGGCTATCTAAATTATGGCCCATCCATATGACTAAATACTTTACAGAGATTAAAGATACTGAAGCACACTTTTAATAATATTAATGAAAATATCCATTAATGCCAAAGAAATACGGTATGTTCAATTTTGGGGAAAACATACATATATATTTGGTACAAATATACACTATATATTTGGTAGAAAAGACATTATAAGTGTATCCGTTGTTATTGGCTGTCGAGTCCGATTGACTCATAGCGACTGTCTAGGATTTCCAAGGAGTGGCTGGTGAGTTTGAACCCCTGACTTTGTGTTTAGCAAGCGATTGCAGATCATTGTATTTCTCTTATTTAACTTCCAAAATCAATTTACTAAATTGTGTAGGGAGAAAACTACTAGAATTTTCCCAAACATTACTTATTCAGGTCTTTCGGATAAGTGGAAACTGAGTTTAGGTTTATTTCTCTATATTCCTGCTGCACCCAGTCACAATCCTTAGGCCATGTATGTATATTTACGTGCGGTGGTGGGTCTGTACTATAAGCACAGGACTGTGAACCAAAAGGTTGGTAGTTCAAGTCCACCAACCCTCCGCGGGAGCAATATGGCGCTTTCTACTTCAGCAAAGATTTACAGCCTCAGAAACCCTATACACGGCCGTTAGGAACCGACACGAAGGTACTTAACAACAACATGCAACCCTGGTGGCCTGGCCTCCGCTGCAGCGGCTCAGGGCCTCGGGCTTTCCCAGGAGAAGGGCGGGCCGGCCGGCCGGGACTGAGCTAACTTCCGCTTCCCAGTGGAGGAAGCAGCAGCAGCTCTCCATCCGCTCCCCCTGCCTACCATTTCGGCAGACCAACAAGTACTGGTTTGAGTTCTCACGGACTTCAAGGAAGGAGCCGTGTGGCTCTCTAACCCCAGCTTAGGGGACATCTATCTTTTCTCGGGAGACCCTCCTCCACCTAGGTGCCCGGAGCTACCCAGAAACCGTGCGGAATGGACTCCGTTTCCGGAGGCGGTGCTTCCGGGCGAAGGACCTATGGGAGCGCAGGCAGCGTGGTATTGGGGAAGTATAACTTAATGAGTCCCAACAGAAACTGAAAGAGGCACTAGAAGGAACTTTATTGGTTAGCGCTAGTTCACTTTCAGACTGCCTACTAACAATATCTGTTAAAACATCAGCTGAATGAACTAATCTTCGAATCAAATACCAAGATGGGAAATTCAGTTTGGGCTCACTCATATGTGTCAAGTCCAAACTTGAGCAGTTTGATAATGGAGTTCATGTGATACATTTTACACCTTCCTGTGACTCTACACGTCAGCACCATTGCCGTAGCTCCGCTGCAAATACACCAACATCCTGGGAACTACCTTTACCAACAAAACTAGAAGATTATTTGGAAGAATATAAATATCAGGCATAAGTACATCTCTTTTTCTAAGTATGCCTCGTTTAGAGTACTCCAAATGCAACTATCTAAAAGAGAATCAAAACGTGAGTGATTGGCTCTAGATAACAGTGTGGAATTCTTTCAAAGAACAGATGAAATCAATCCAATTTAAGTGCGTGCCCAGGTAGCTAGTTATTTAAAGTTCCCACCATATATTTTATACCTGAGTGATGCTTCCCTTTGTAAGATTGACCAAGACCAGTTCAGCCTTTTAAATAAATAAAATTCCAAGTGAAGGTTGTAGGAGCATTTATCAAAATACCTTGACTTTCTGTGGTTACTTTCCACTAGTTCTAAGGTTCTAGTGCCAGCGGTAGGTAAGCGCTCCCCATGGGATCACTGTACAAATGGAAGGAACCAAGCCGACACAGGCTAACTTCAATTTCATATACCTGGCGATCAGAGTCATTTTGTAGTCTGCATTCCGATGTACCTAAGAGTTTTGTTAAACAGATTGTGTTGGTGAGTATTGCGCCTTCAAAAAAGAGAAAAAGAGTACAGTGTAGGAAACCTAAGGTGCAGTTCCACTCTGTTCTATGAGGTTGATACAGAGTCACTATGAGTTGGAATTGACTCTACAGCACACAAACAGAAAAAACTACTTGAAAGCAGGGGTTTGTCTTATTTTCCTATTTCCTAGTGTGTGAATTTCCCCCACTGTATCCACAGAAAAATATCTAGCACTAGTAAATGATTGGTAATTGTCTTGTCATCTGAATATAACATTATATTTTGATCTAGGTTGCAGCTGCATTCTCTTGACAAGGATGGAGTTCAACAGTCTTCTGCATGAAATTGGGGAACACCTGGACAGTGGTAGACTTGCCTCCCTTAAATTCCTGAGCCTAGACCACATCCCCAAAAGAAAGCAGGATCACATTCAGGATCCTTTAGCCTTCTTCATGGCACTCCAAGAAAGGAGAATTTTGGAGGAGAATAACCTGTTCTTCTTGAAGGAATTGCTTTTCCATATTCAAAGTCTAGATCTGTTGACCAAGTTCTTTGGCACCAGTAAGCAGGAGATGATAAAAGAGCTTCAGATACCAGGCAAGGCCAAGATTTCTGCTTACAGGTAAGCAGAACAACTATATTCTGTTGATTTGAAGGTGTGGATTACATGGGCACATCTTCATGGGCAGGGCAGACTATGGATTGTCTGTGTGGTGTGACTTTGGAGGCTCTGGGAAGGTGTTCCACTAGGGTAAGATTAAGAACTTTAGAGTCCTGGTGTGGCACAGGATAAACACTCAACCAAGAGGTCTGTTTGAACTGCAAAGTTGGTGGTTCAAACTCACCAGCTGTTCCTTAGAAACCCTATACAGGTTCGTTATGAGTTGGAACCAACTCGATGGCACTTGACAATAATAACAACAAAGGCAGTAAAGATTTACAAACTTGAAACCCTATACAAGGTTGCTATGAGTTGGAACTAACTCCACGGCACATCACCACCACCACCAAATAGTAACAAAAGCGTTGTAAATGGTTTGTGCTCAACTACGCTATGGGATAATACACTGGATTGCAAGATCAGTTTGAACTGCAAGGTTGGTGGTTCAAATTCACCAGCCGCTCCTTGGAAACCCTATACAGGGTTGCTATGAGTCAGAACTGACTTGAAGACACTTAACAACAACAGCAGCAACAACACTAAGTTAAAGGAGTCCTGGTGTGGTGCTGCAGGGTAATGCACTAGATCACAAGGTGGGTTTGAATTGAAAGGTCAGCAGTTCAAATCCACCAGCCGCCCCTTGGAAATCTTATACAGGGTCGCTGTGAATTGGAACAGATTCAACGGCACTTAACAACAAACAACAACTAAACTAAAGTTTGGCAGTTTGAACACAACTCATCAGCACCTTGAAGAAAGGCCTGGTGATTTCTTTCTGAGATTTGAGTTGCCATGAGTTGGAAACAACTCCACAGCACTTAACAACAACACTAACTTAAAGGTTGACATTTCGAACCCATGCAGTGACATAATGGAAGAAATGCCTAGTGAATTGCTTCTATAAAGGTTATAGTCATGCAAACCCTATGGAGTAGTTCTACTGTGTAACACATGGGGTCGCCATGAGCTGGAATCAACGCATTGGAAAAGATTATTGTCACTTATTGCACACTAAGTGTGTGCCAAAGATTGGTTTGAGCACTTTTATCATTTAATATTTATTTCTTTTTCATTTAATTTTATTTATTTAACCCTTAACACCTCCCTAAAATGTAGACATATCCAGTCTACAGAGAAGGGAAAAAACATATAACATGTCTAGAGTCATACACTGTAGGTATGCAATAAGATGCCAACGCCAGCCCTAAAACACTGCGCTTCATAGCCCTCTGGGTTTAAGGAAAAATAAATAAAAAGACTGGCCCCTGCTATCAGGGAACTCAGTTTGGTAAATCAAGAAACCCAAACTCATTGCCATTGAGTTGATGCCAATTCATAGTGACCCTGTGGGATAGGTTTTCAAGGCTGTAATCTTTATGGGTCATTCTCCTGTGGAGTGGCTGGGGAGTTGGTATTCTGATCTTTTGGTTAGCAGCTGAGCACTTAAACGCAGTGTCACCAGGCTTCCTCCAGGCTGGTAAATAGACAGTTATAATCCTCACATGTGTGATGTCCTTTGGGTGATTCAAAGACACGGGAAAGGGAAGACCGCAGTGTGAGGACCTCTGGGCCATGCTTGAACCTCTTCTTAGTGGGTGAGTGGGAGTCTGTAGATAGCCAAGGGGCTAGAGGGTGGAGGAAGTGGAGGGAACACAGCATAAAGGGGTGAGAGGGCATGTTTGGAGTCTCTGATCCTTCCGTGTTAGAGGAGTCTACAAGGACAGAGAGAGTGGGTTCTGAGACTGGTTGGAAAGGGCTGAGAAGCGTGGGGAGAAGAAGATGAACAGGGTGCCTGGGCTCATTTTACAAAGGTGCTTGTATTCGAGAACCAAATGTTTGGCTGTCTTGCTCAATGGAATGGCTGGTTAGGTTTAACTAGCAGAGTGATGATCCAATCTGCTTTCTTTAAAAGCATAATTTCAACAAGTCAATTAAAAAAAAAATTAGAATACATTTTTTATTTTATGATGAAGACAAAAGAAAAACAAGTTTAATTTAACCAAAATTAACTGAATGGCAAGATTGCTTGAATTGAAACCTCTGTTAAGGGTAGGATAGTTAGACATTTGTTGCACGTAGTGTTGGGTGTCTTCACTATGACAACTCCATATGACAGAGTAGAACTGCCCTGTAAGGTTTTCTAGGCTGTAATCTTTATGGGGGTAGATTGCTAGGTCGTTCTCCCACAGAGCTGCTGGTTGGATTCAAATGGCCAGCCTTTTTGTTAGCAGCTCTTAACTTCTATGCCACCAGAGCTCTGTAGTTGGATATTGTTGTTGTTGTTGCTGTTAAGTGCCATCAAGTTGCTACTACTCAGAATGACCCTGCGTAGGATTTCCAAGGAGTGGCTGGTGCGTTTGAACTGCTGACCTTGTGGTTCGCAGACCAGTGCTGACTCACTCTGTAGTAGTTGGACATTAGCCCTTAGTTTTGTAAGTCGCTACACTGGCCTCTTTGTAAGGACTCAACTCATACATCATGTCAGTAACTGGCATTGGAGTCAAGTCTGCTGTAATGTCAAATATCAAATGGGATTTTATTTAAGAAAATATTTCTAAAGTGTCTTCATTTCCTACTGCAGGGTCATGCTTTTTCAGGTTTTTGAAGATGTAAGCAGTGAAGAATTAAAGGCCTTTAAGTTTTTTTTGATAAAGGAGATCCCCAAAGGTAAACTGGATGATGAGACAATGGTAAGACCAGTATCCTTCCAAGGTTTATTCCTGGGGGTTAGTCAGGCCTTGCAGTGGGGATTACTGCGATTGAAGAGGATGCTCACTGGGGATCAGTCAGGCCGTGCAGTGGGGATTACTGAGATTGAAGAGGATGCTCACTGTTTAATCAACCCTAGCTGTTGTAAATGTCATTCCTTTTAGATTTTAAAGTACTGCTCACTGTACTCTTCAGGACCAAAGAGAGAAGGCTGGTTGGTTATTAGAGCACACTCCAGTGTGGGACTCAGCAGAAACATTTTACCCATTAACCAAAAAAAAAATATTTTATTTTTTTCATTGTAATTTGGGTGAAAGCTTACAAAGCAAATTGGTTTTCCATTAGACAATTCATACATGTTTTGTTTCGTGACATTGATCACAGGCTCCACAATGTAACAGCACTCTTCCTACTTCCTCCCTGTGGTACTTTTGTCCTTCTTTCCTCTCCCTTCCTGCCTTTGGAGCTTTATCCTGGCCAAATGCTGCCCTTTTGGTCTCTAGTGGTTGGCTGTTCTAAGGAGTGCCTACCTCCTTGGTGTTAATCACCTTATAGTCCTATCTGTTGTTTGGCTGAAAGTGAACCTTGGAGGTAAAATTTCCACCTTTTGCAGTCCTTGAAACCATGTGGAACTTAGAAGTAAGACAGATGTGGGAAGGGACTCAGGTCTGGGAGTGGATTGAGGGCCAGAGAGATTGATGTGAGAGACAGTCCTCAGGGTCATTATTGTGGTACCAGGCTGCAATGTCTCAGTCACACACCTCAGACGGCTTTTCACACAAGGGCAGGCATAGGTGCTGCCTGGAAGGGGTTGACAGTTTTTCCTTTATTTTCCCACTTGTGTCTTCTGAGCCAGGAAGCACAGCATCACCCTACCCCACCCCTAGTAGTCTGTTGGCTTTATAAGACCAACATGCCAGCACAGGAGGATCTGCTTGGGAAACAAGGAGGGCCTTTGCTTTAGAGAAAGCAGAAGTAAAAGAATCTCATCTAAACCTAGTATCACTCAACCCAGTCTTCCAACCTTGTTTTTCCTCCTTCTAGACCCTGCTCGATATTTTCATAGAGATGGAAAGGAGGGGCATGCTTGGAGAAAGAAACATGAACACCCTGAAAAGGATCTGTAACCAAATCAATAAGAGCCTGCTGCTGAAAATCAGTGCTTATGAAGAAGACACAGGTAGAAATAACGTGACAGTAAAGCGTGTTCTTAAACTGACAAATCCTTCTGTGTTACAACTGCTTCTAACCAAATAGCGGCTGGGTTTCTTTTTTAATTCAGAGAGAAGAATGAGCCTTGAAAGAAGTCCAGATGGAGTCTCAATTGGTACGACTTGGAGATAAGTTTTTACAATATAGTTCGTTTACTCTTATGTATCTTCCTGTGTGACCTCCACAAACTCCCTACCATGCCCAAACCTTAATGGACCTGCTCTTTTAACATCAGGATGAAATCTTGGTGGCCACTTGGAGTCACCTCCTGTGCACATTGAAAGGCATAAAAAAAGTTGTCAAAAGATACAAATTGAGAAAAACAGAGGGAATAAAAGCAGATACTGTTGAATGATGATGCATGGAGGGGATTGTAATCATTGCAATGAAACAATAAGTGTAAAGCCTATGTTCTCCCACGTAAACTATCACTCAATTAACGGTTAATAAATAAATAAAAAGAAAAACAAAAAAGACACAAACTCTGCAGCCTCAGGATGACCAGTTTAAAATAGGTGCAGTTTGATAGTAATGTTTTGTTCTCCCAGCCTTTTCCCCTCTTTCCTTTCTTCCTCTCCCCTCTCTTTTTCTTTGCCTCCCTTCCTCCTTCCTCTTTCCCTCCTATCTGTTCTGTGTCCTGTACTGGGTAACTGGATTCAAAGATTCCCTAGATAGTGCAAACTGTGAAGCTCAGTTACTAGCTAGAAGGTGGGTGGGTCAAACTCAACAAGACAAGTTTGGCAATCTGGTTTGGAAAGATCACAGCCATGAAAACCCTATGGAGTAGCTCTGCTCTGTACATGTGGGATCTCAATGAGTCAGAATTGACTCAGTGGGAACTAACAACAACAGCATACTAGTTTCAAGATAGTTTTAGAATCCCTTGGTTCCATCACTTACTCCTTCAGTGAGAATCATTTAGTCCGCCCTGCCTGACAGAGGACCCATGATTGTGAGACATGGCTCTTCATCTTCTGCGTACCTCACCCTCCCTGAGAAGCCCCCAGCCAAATTCCACTGTTTTTTGTTTTCCTATCCTGTTGTTGTTAAGTGCTGTCCGACTCATAGCCACCCTGTATAGGGTTTCCGAGGAGTGGTTGGTGGGTCTGAACTGGTGAGCTTGTGGTTCACAGCCCAGTCCTGATCGTACAGTGCCACCAGGCGCCCTTGAGAGGGGTGAGTGGCCCAGTCCTCTGTCCTTTTTCCTGCCTGGGTAAGCCATACTAAAGAAGGAAATCTCAAAAATCTCATTTAAAATTTTGATTAACTAAAAAATATAAGTGTGCTAAAGAGGTGGTTGGGGTGGGGGGAGGGAGCACACCAGCCTGCAGGTATAGATTTAGTGGACTGTAAAAATTATGTATGCTCACTGAGGATTATTATTATCATTTTTTAAAGCTTGTGCTTTAGGTTTATATAAAAGTTTATAGAGCTAATTCATTTTCCATTCAGTAGTTTGTACCTAAGTGTTCTATGACAGTGGTTATGATCCCCACAATATGCCCATTCTTCCCATTCTCCACATAGGTTTCCCATTTCCTTTTGTCCAAATTATCTGCCCCTTTCTGCCTGCTTCCATCTTTTTGTTATTGTGGATAATGCTGCAGTGAACATGGGTGTGCATATGTTTGTGTCCTGGCTCTTCTTTCTCTAGGAAGTGTACCTGGGAGTGGGACTGCTGGATCAGACAGTATTTCCATTTCAGTGTGAGCTTTTAAAGGAAGCACCTGCTGCCTCCCACAGTGGCTGTACCATTTGATGTTGCCACCAGCAGTCTATAAGACATCCAATCTCCCCACAACGCAACCAGCATTTGTTGTTTTTGTTTTGTTTTGTATTAACCAGTGCTCTGATTGTCAAGATGCCATGGTAGCTTTGATTTGCATCTCTCTAATGGCTAATGATTGGGAGCATTTCTTTATTTATTTGTTTGTCACTTGGACAACTTTGGTGAAGTGTCTGCTCATATCCTTTGCCCATTTGAAATTGTATTGTTTGTCTTTTTGTTGTTGAGGTGTTGAAGTTCTCTGTAAATTTTGGAGATCAGCCTTTAGGTCAGGTATTTTCATGCATACTGGGTACACATATACAAGGGTAAGTCCAAAAGTATTCTACTAGGGCCCCAGTTCATACACGCACAGGTTTATTCCAAACAATATATGTGTTTAAACATGTCTCTGCAATCAATAGATGGCTAAGGCAAGTTCTCTCACTGATGCACTTGTCACAGTCTCGTTGTTGCTGTTAAGTACCGTTGAGTGGATTCTAACTCATCGTGACCCTGTATTGATTGGGTTTCTGAGGATGTAAATCTTTACAGGAGCAGAAATCTTCATTTCTCCAGTAGAATGGCTTATAGATTTGAACTGCTGACCTTGTGGCTTGCAGCCTAACTCGTAATCCACTATGTGTCATTATTGTTGTTGTTGTTAAGTGCTGTCAAGTGGGTTCTAACCCATAGTGATCTTGTATAGGGTTTCCTACAGTCTAAGAAATCCTAGGGGGCAGCTCTACTCTGTCACATGGGGTGATGACATGTGACAGAGTAGAACTGCCCCCTACCACCACTAATATTTGCAGCAGCAGATTGCTAGATCTTTTTCCTTTAGAGCCACTGGTGGATTTGAACTGCCAACCTTTCAATTAATAATTGAGTTCTTAATCGTTGTTCCACCAGAACTCCTTGTTAGAGAATAAAGCTGAGTAATGTTCCAACATTCCTCTCACTCCACACCTGTCTGAACGCAAGGCTCTAAGATGTTAAAGTTCCCTTAAATCAGTAGTTTATCGAAACTACATAGATCAATAAACTGTTTTCTGGTAGTTTATTGTGAGTACCTCATAAATACAACTAAATTCAGCCTAGCAATGTGTAGGAAATATAAATATGGGACTTCCTGGCCATAATTCTCCCTTTGGGGATGAGACTTTGTGTTTCCAAAAGCATGTTCATTGCCTAGCCTTAATTCCCACAGAAAGACTACATTCAAGACCTTTGAATATTGAATGTGTGAATTTTTATTTCTAAGTGGACATGCTTGCCTGCTAACCGAATGGTTGGTGTTTGAACCCACCAGCCACTCTATGGGAGAAAGATGTGGCAGTCTGCTTCAGTAAAGGTTGTTGTTGTTGTTGTTAAGTGCCATTGAGTCGGGTCCGACCCATAGCGACCCTGTACAGGGTTTCCGAGGGTGTAAATCTTTACGGGAGTAGAAAGCCTCATCTTTCTCCCGCGGAGCAGCTGGTAGTTTCGAACCGCTGACGTTAAGGTTCGCAGCCCGATTCGTAACCACTACGCTCATTGGAAACCCTATGGGGCAAGTCGGCTTTGTCCTGTGGGCTTGCTACGAGTTGGAATCGACTTGATCGCTATGGGATGTTGTCTTGAGTACTATGTGTTTTATCAAAGTACTTTCCCTGCCATGTCTCATTCTAGATGTATCTCTTGATTGCTTACAGGGGAGGAGTTATTTGAAAAGCTGACAATATATGACCCTCCAGGAGAAGTAGCAAGTGAGTCAGAGGTATGTGGAAACCTCCAATCGTGCTTTCCCTTTGCTTTCTAGGTGCTAATTATTGTATTCATTCACTTTTTGTTGTTGTTGTTAAGTGCTGTTGAGTCAGTTTTGACTCATAGTAATGCTGTGTAGGAGGGTTTCCAAAGAGCTGCTGATGAGTTTAAACTGGCTGACCTTGTGAGTCAAATGGACCCTGCAGTCTAGTGCTTTATCCCACAGCACCATACTTTTTTTTGTTTTAGCTGATATCTCTTGTGACAGAAACTTACTATAAAGTTTGGGAAATGTAGAAAAAAAAAATCACAAAAAGACACATTTAAAATATGACTTTCTGATTTTTAAAACGTGACCTCTTCAGTTTCTTATAAATTGAGTTTTAGTTTTAAAACAAAAAACAGAGGCATTGGAATGGTTGAAGAATAAAGAGGGTAGGAAGCTTTGTACCCAATCAGTACTTCCAGGAGCCACATCAGCCTGAATGAGGGAGGTTTTTGGAGAATGAGTCTAGGTAGCAGGATTGGAAAAGCAAAGCCTGATCTTTTAGCTTGCATTTAAAAAAGCTTTCTCCTTTGTGATTAGATATAAGCAGGAAACACTCATGATCTAGCATCTTGATAAAGTCAGTATAATAATTTCCTCTGTAGACATAACTTCTATTTATGTAACTTTCACCATCTCACCAAAGGCATTCTCACTCCTTCGTGAACTCACTCCTCACCAAATGCTGCTTGCTGTCTGGCTCAGTACCAGACTGCTCTTAGTCAAAAATTGAGGGTAAACTGAAGTAATGTGGCACTTTGTAAGTAGCACTTTATAAACAGTCTTGTCACCACTGAAGAGCTAAAGATATTGAATCTAGAACAGATTAGGTGGTGGTTGTGGTATTGTGCTCTGCCAACATAAGTCCGACTCAGAGTAGCCCAGTAGAACAGAGTAGAACTGCTCAATAGGGTCTCCTAGGTTGGAGAGCCTTATAGGAACAAATCGCCAGGTCTTTCTAGTACAGAACTACTGGGGGAGTTCAAGTCACCAACCTTTCTGTTAGTAGCCAAGTCCTTACTGTTGTGCCACTGGGGCTCCTTACAGATTAGATCATTTACTCAGTCTTACAAAGTCCTGGTGTGGTGCCACAGGATGAGCACTGGACAGCAAAGTTGGTTTGAACTGCAAAGCTGGTGGTTCAAACTCACCAGCTGCTCCTCAGAAACCCTTTACAGGGTTGCTATGAGTTGGAACCGACTCGATGGCACTTAACAACAATGATTATTCAAAAACAAAACAAAACAAACTTTGTGGTAAAATATTAAACTATGAAGAAGAATTTTTCTAGGACAACCTTAGAGAAAAATGTACACGCAGTTGAGAAATATTCTTGGTAGCATAGTGGATTCCGAGGTGTTGGGTCAACAGTTTGAATCCACCAGCCCCTCCATGGGAGAAAGATGAGGCTTTCTGCTCCTGTAAAGATTTACAGCCTCAGAAACACTATACAGAGGCTCTATGAGTGGGAACTGACTCCACAGTATACAATCACTAACCACCATCACCACCTTACAATGGACTCCTGGTGTGGTGCTGTAGGATAACCCATAAGCTGCTCCTTGGAACCCCTACATAGGGTCACTATAAGTTGGAACCGACTTGACGGCATTTCACAACAAACAACATGGTTATTAAGTAGTATAGCCAGGAATTCTGCCATCTAGCCCAGGATATGTTCTCTACCTCAAGGCTTCCAGCTAAATGCTGACCAATGTCAGCACTAAAACAGTCCTAGGGAAATGAGCCGGACACAGGGCCACCTCTGACAGGGTGGGTCAGGTCCTTCAGTCTGGATACTGGAACCCACAGCATAGTCATAGCCTGCCTGACCAGTGCATCTCATTCGTCACCTGCTGTGACCCTGAAATCTGGGTTAAGATGGCATCCTTTATAAGCCTAGAGACTACACTATATTAAGTGTGAAGGGCAGGCACACAGCTGTGAGCCCAGAAGCCTGGATAGCTTGGCAGATAGCCAAGAGAAACACAAGGTCATGGAGGGGCAGCCAAGAATCCATCTAGCAACTCTTGACTGAGCACTCACAAGACTCTAGGCACAGATGATATCTATCTAGAGGGGTCTTCTGTAGAGACAAGGAAGCAGACATAAGAACACGTAATTATAATACAAAGGTATGACAACAATCTTAATACATGTGTGCAAAGTGTTCAGAAGGCCCAACCATGAGGACATTAATTTTGAACACTAACTTTAGGCTAGAAATCTGGGGGATATACAGGACCACGTGAAAACGAGTTCTTCAGGGAAACAACTCCAACATTGCAAAACCCAACACCTCACTATGGAGTGTTTTCCAGATCTGTAGTGTTTGACCCACCGAGTCAGTTCGTGGGATGGGTTTTTGTTTTCCAGATATCAGACAAAGTTTACCAAATGAAAACCAAGCCTCGGGGATACTGTTTGATCTTCAACAATCATGATTTTTCAAAAGCACGGAAGGATGTGCACAAACTTAACAACATAAGGGATAGGAATGGAACAGACTTCGATGCAGGTAGAGTATAACCCAAAATAGAGAAGTAAAATATTTATTTTACTTATTTTTTTATCCAAAGGGGGAAAATAGGAGTTTTACCAATAGAGCCATATGTTTTTTAAAAAAGGATACAATTGTATTTACCTATGAAGATTAAGAACAATCTTAGATATTTGTTAATTTGTTGATTATTTTAAATTAATTTTTCAAAGCAATGTATGTATATATAAAGTATTAAATCTTTTAAAAAAGCATATAATTAAAAGCAACAATAAGATTTATTTTTAATTTATCTGTATCCATTTTTCATGTATTGACATGGTTAAGTTCCAAAGACCATACATACCATTATACAAATATGGAGGTGATTTCATCATTATATGACTGCAAATTACATCATTACTTAACCGCCAAACCACTGAGAATCATGGCCGGGCCAAGCTGACACATGACCTTGACTGTCATAGTCAGAATTACTCTGGTCTCAGAACTCAGCTTTCACTATTACCAGACATATGCCATTAATATGTAGAACAATCAGATAGAGTTTTTACTATTGTTGTAACTGCAAAATGTCAGATAACAAAATAGTTGGCAAGTGAGGAGTAGGTGTAAATGTATAGGGCTTCTGTTAAATGCATTAAGCACTAAATGAAAAACTTGCCTTGCCATCAAAACCACTTATATAAGCTGAGCTATTTAATGTAGCAGAAATACGGGTCCTTCACAGAAACAACATTTTCAAATGTTAAACTAGCTAAGTAGCTAGAAATTCTTGTGCACAGCCTATCAGAGCTCAGATTGAGAATTTACAATATGAAAAAATACTTATATGGCATATATAAAAATGACTACTACTAACAGTAATGATATAAATATAAATAATCCTGTCCTACCTTTGTGATTATTAAGAATTTTTATTTAATTTGGTGCTCGTGTTACAATTTCAGGTAACCACATTTTACGAAGTCGAAAACTAATGTAGGCCGATTATAATCATGAAAACTCTGAGGTGATCCCTGTTAATAATTGACTTGTTTTTCAAGCAAATTGATTCTAAACTTTTACAAAGCTGAAGACCTTAAGACCGCTGAGTGTGTCATTCATCACTATGCATCTTGGTATTGAAGAAAAGATTTCAGACCTCTGATTTCCACCCAGCTAATATTAAATATCTCCTTACATAATATTATCTTATACTTCAATTGATTTTCCTCATACCTGGCCCGTGATTGACTTGGTTCTGGTGGGCATTTGAATTTGCATTCTCTGCTGTTATGTTCCGCGTGGAATGGCTAACAGTAGGAGACCTAGCTGCTTTCGTTCTTTGAGTGGATGTGATGTAAATTTGAGTGTATACATTTTATTCTTGGTTTGGTGGTGGTGGTGGTGTGCCATCAACTTGGTCTGGCTCATAGCAACCCTATATAGCATTTCCAAGGTTATACATGTTTGTGGGAGCAGAAGTCTCATCTTTTCCCCATGGAGCATCTGGTGGATCCAAACTGCTGATCTGTGGTTAGCAGTCCAGCACATAACTCACTATGTAAGTCACTAGGGTTTCCAACTTAGTTTGGTGGTTGTGGTGGTGGTGGTTATGTACCGTGAAGTTAGTTCTGACTCATAGCGACCTTGTATGGGGGTTCTGAGGTTGTAAATATTTACAGGCGCAGAAAGCCTCATCTTTCTCTTGCAAAGAGGCTGGTAGATTCAACCTACAGGCCTTGCAGTTAGCAGTCCAACTCGTAACCCACTATGCTACCAGAGCTCCTTCATTTGGTTTGGTAGTAAGTCTAAATAGTTCACAAAATACAACAAGTGAACAGTATTCTCTCCTTCCTCATTTGATTCGTAACTTGGGAAATGTTCTCAGCTGGTGACAGTAAATATTAGCGGCCATAGACTCCAACTGCTATTTTAGAGGGTCTGCTTTAAAAAAGAGCCCTGGTGGTGATGTGGGATAAACATTGGGCTGTTAACACAGGTTGGCAGTTCAAACCCACCAGCTGTTTCCTGGGAGAAAGATGATGAGACTGTCTGCTCCCATAAAGATTTACAGACTGGGAAATCCTAGATATGTATGGTCACTATTAGTTAGAATCGACTTCATGGTCTGGGAACTTGTTCTTTAAATGGATCCCTGGTAGCACAGTAGTTAAAGCGATCAGCTGCTAATCATAGGTTGTCAGTTTGAACCTACAGCTGTTCCACAAAAGAAAGATGTGGCAGTCTGTTTCCATAAAGATTTATAGCCTTGGGGGAGGCTTCCTGCGGAGTCTCTGCAATACATAAGACTATAGGTGGAAGCCTAAACCGCATCCAGATCTTCAGAGATGGGAAATTTCCACTTGAAAGGATTAGCAGACCAGCCTGGAGCAGCTGGAAGAACAGAAGATACTTCTTGAAAGAAAGACCTACAGGAAAAATACTAAACAATAGAGGCAGACTGACTGTTACTACAAGAACAAGCAAGTTGCTTGCCCAGGAGACATCAAGGCAAATGGTCGGGTCCCCTCAGTGCAAACCCCCTTCCAAGACTAAGACTCAATACATGCTCTGATTGATGACTACGTTCATCACCGATAAGGGGAAGTGAGGGAAAAACAGCAATGAAGCAGCGAGCTAAGCCCTACAACGTTCAATAGACTTCTGTGAACCCTGGTGAAGACCTGGTTGGCCAGCAGTGTAGCAAGACCTAGGGACTCTTGGGCCCAGAGTCAGTGACATAGCCACAGAGAACTAGAGTGGAAAGGGAAGCATTCAGCTGATAAGAAGAAAAGGCATATGCACAAGAACACCCACACTTGCAGATAATACCCACTCGACCTGGCTTCAATGACTGGATGATCAGAGCTCAACTAGAAGAAGAAAGAAGAGGGAAAAAAATAAAAGTAATCTGATAACAATTTGATGAACTTGACCTACACCTATGGATTCAGTAGCTCAAAAGAGGGAACAAATCTTTACAGCGAGGATCATTCCCACCCCCTCCATACACAGAGTAGACAGGGATGGGCAACTTAGACATTGGCTACCCAAAGTGGGGGGAGCTACAAAGGCCAGAAGTGACTGGCTTACAAGCTTTCAAGAGGGAACCTAGACCAGAGGGCATGGAGGAAGGTAGAATCTCCACTTAGTAGTATACAATCTGTCTAGGTGGGGCTGATGAAATGAAATCCAGATGGGTCTCTTGTGATACAATAGTGGATAATTGTTATCTGGACTGCTTGTGAGGGTTGGAATTGTAAAGGTAGACATTTTTTAGCAAGGAGGGGAGTGATTAACCTTTCAGCCTAAGAGCGGAGGTCCCTGAGACCATCAAGAGAGAAGAGCGGAGAGCAGGACCCTACCCAGAGAAGCAGTGATCCCTGAGATGGAGGCAGAGATGATGACGTAGAGAGATGGAAGTGTTGGGAACTTTAGACACAGTGAGGGAGAGGGGCTGTGTACTGATGACCTGGGGGGGGCAGGCTTGCAGTGTATACCCTTTGGTTGGTTGATGATGCATGGAGAGGATTGTAACCATAGCAATGAAATAATATACTATAGGATGAATGTAAAACTAATGTTTTACATGTAAACTATCACATAATTCACAATAAAATATTAAAAAGAAAAAAGATTTATAGCCTTGGAAACCCAATGGGCAGTTCTGTTGAGACCATAGGGTCACTATGGTCTGAATAGATTTGATGGGCATGGGTTTGGTTTTGAGTTGTTCTTTAAATGCTGGTGCACATTCTTACCTGATCAATGTTAGCCCCATCGGTAGTGCTCTCCAGCTCTGAGCTGTGGCCTAGGGATGGCTGTGCTGTGACTTTTCCTATTTTCATTTTTCAGAGGCTTTGAAAAAGACTTTTGCTGACCTTCATTTTGAGGTGCTACTTTTCAAAAATTGCACAGCAAAGAAAATCTGTGAAGTTCTGGAATTCTACCAAAACCATGACCACAGTAACAAAGACTGCTTCATCTGCTGTATCCTCTCCCATGGAGACAAGGGCATCATTTATGGCACCGATGGGCAGGAAGTCTCCATCTATGAGCTGACCTCATACTTCTCGGGTTCGAAGTGCCAATCCCTTGCAGGCAAACCTAAAATCTTTTTCATTCAGGCTTGCCAAGGAGATAACTACCAGAAAGGTATAGCTGTTGAGACTGACTCAAAACAGCAGCAAAACTATTTAGAAATAGCTTCATCAGCTCAGAAGAAATACATACCAGATGAGGCTGACTTTCTTCTGGGGATGGCCACTGTGAATAACTGTGTTTCCTATCGAAGCCCCGTGGAGGGGACCTGGTATATCCAGTCACTTTGCAAAAGCCTGAAAGAAAGATGTCCTCGGTAAATTTTGCCTTCCCAACCCTCCTCAGTGTTACACTGCCTGTCTCCCTATGACCACTCCTATATTTCCATATTAGAAGGTGCTTTATGGTGGATATGAACAGATCAGCTCTGTGTCCAAGGGGAGTGTTTCCATACACCTTTAAACATCTTTGTATGTATCATATGACTGTGCTTCCCAGGTCAGTTACAAAGTGAGAGAAATGTCAAGTGTTAATATCTTTAGTTCATAGATGGAGAAACTGAGATGCTTCCTGAATTATTCTACACCTCAAAGGCTATCAGGTGATCGCAATGCTAGAAAGGATGGTAAAGCCATATCGTTCAGTTCTGTCTTTAAGGTAGAACAGGACCAAGTCAACCCAACAAAGTTTGGAAAATTTCCAAAAAAGTAGTAACCATTCTGATATTATTTAACATTCTCTGACCCGGTCAAAAGTTTTATAATTTCCAACTTCACCCTTTGTGTGGGACATAAGTTGATCATCAACTATACAGTTGTTGTTGTTTTTGTTGTTAGGTGCCATCAAGTCGGTTCCAACTCATAGTGACCCTATGCACAACAGAACGAAACACTGCCCGGTCCTGGGCCAACCTCTCAATTGTTATTATGCTTGAGCCCATTGCTGCTGCCACTGTGCCCACTCCACCTTGTTGGGAATCTTCCTCTTGTTTTGCTGACCTTCCACTTTACCAAGCATAATGCCCTTCTCCAGGGACTGGTCCATCCTGATGATGTGTACCAAGTATGAGACAAAGTCTTTCTCATCTTTGCTTTCAGGAGCATTCTGGCTGTACTTCTTCCAAGACAGATTTGTTTGTTCTTCTGGCAGTCCATGGTACTTTCAATATTCTTCCCCAACACAGTAACTCAAAGGCATCAATTCTTCTCTGGTCTTCCTTATTTATTGTTCATCTTTCACATGCATATGAGGGTATTGAAAATACCATGGCTTGGGTCAAGTGCACCTTAATCCTCAACTGATATTTTTGCTTTTGAACACTTTGAAGAGGTCTTGTGCAGATTTGCCTGATGCAATACGTTGTTTGATTTCTTGACTATTGCTTCCATGAGTGTTGATTATGGATCCAGGCAAAATGAAAACTTGCTGTAGAGTGGTGGAAGTGGTGGTTGTGTGGCACTGATTAAGTTCTGACTTATAGAAACCCTATATAGAGTTTCCAAGGCTGCATATCTTTATGGGAGCAGAAAGCCTCATCTTTCTCCTGCAGAGCAACTGGTAGATTCAAACTGTTGATTTGGTGGTTAGCAGTCCAGCTCATAACCTACTATGTTACTAGGGCTCTTTTGCTATAGAGTAGCAAGCTTTTATCTGTCTACTGATTTGATCTGCTTGAAGCTATGAAATGTGGGACAGTAGCCTTTCCTTAATTATGACATCATTTGCTTTTAGTTTGTAACATCATTTGCTTTTAATAGTTTCTTATGTCTCAGATTACCCGAATGCACACACACCTGACATTTGAATAGCAAGGAATCTTCTTCCGATTCCTCTCAGTTTTATATTTCATTATGTTTTGAGCGTATGCAGAGTAAAAATTTCTCATGGTAGATAAAGGAATGTATAATGTTTTTCTATTGTAACAGAGACCATGAATCCTGCAAGGTTCTAAAGCAGGGGTGAGGAAGGTCTGGCCCATGGACTGTATTAGGTCTGTAAAATCATTTGGTCTGGCCCTGCTAAGGCAACCACAGTTCCAGCTATTACATTAGGCATGAGTTAATAAATGTTTGCCTAAATGTAGCAGACTAACTTTTAAATTGATAACTTTGTATGACCCATGAATGATGTTATAAATTTTGGCAGACAAAAGGTTCCTAACCCCTGCTCTAGAGAATGGCTGCAGAGGTAAATGAAAAAAAAAACAAACAAAGCTGATAGAGATGCTGGTGAGAAATGGGTAAGATTGGCTATAGGAGACATTCAGTTTCCATTTGGCTAGCTCTGCAGGAGAAAAGCCCTAGTGGTCTGTGTCAGTAAAGATTACATTTTAGGAAACCCTACAGGGCAGTTCTGTCTTATAGAGTCACACTGTAAGTTGGAATTAACTCCACAGCACACAACAACAAAATTTGATTGCATTATAGATGAGTCTACAGAAATATCTGAGGCAGAGAAGGTTGGATCATGGGGCCCAGTGATACAGTACATGGAGAAGAATGAAGAACACAGAGATCAGGAGAGAAAGAAACCAAATCTCATGCCAACACTGAGGTTTCTGATGGTCAGTCGAGATCCCCGATGACCCAGAGATAAGTTAGTAAGCTCTGAGAGAACTCCTTTATCTGGGAAACTGTCGTAGGTCTTAGTTTCTAAAACGAAACCAGTTTATGTGGAGTTGATTTCAGCTCATGGTGATCCCGTTAGCTACAGAGAAGAACTAAACTCCACGGGGTTTTCTTGGCTGTCATTTTTACAGAAACAGATCACCAGCCCCTCTTTCCATGGTAATGTTGGGTACGTTTGAACTGCCAGCCTTTTGGTTAGCAGCTTAGTGTAAACAATTTGTGCCAGTTTAGCCAGTTACTATTTCGAATGCTTGATGTTTTGAGGGAAAGAACTATCAGGACAGTAGATGAAACACTTCACTGAAGTTTATGCCCGACATATCCTCACAATGTCATTCTATGTTTTTCAGGAATGACGATATTCTTACCATCCTGACGGACGTCAACTATGAAGTGAGCAATAAGGATGACAGGAAAAATATGGGGAAACAGATGCCACAACCCACTTTCACACTGAGAAAAAAACTCTACTTCCCTCTTAATTGATGCTATTGGTGACTTACATAACACTGCACCTACTCCTTGTTTACCAATGATTTCATTATCTGTCATTTTGCATTTATGACAACAGCAAAAAATTTGTCTATTTTGTGTGTTAGTGACATGTCTGGCTGCAACAGATGCTGAAGTGCAAGGTGACAGTGACATTGGCTGTGACATTAAAGTGTCAGTTTGTCTGAATCACAATTCTCAGAGGTTTGGAAGCTATGTACACATCCTCCAATTTGTGATCTGATATGCTTGCCCTTCATTTTCGAATAATAACCAGATCTGTGAATGCTAGCTCTGTCACTAAGTGAGGAGTGGGTGTATAATGCTTTTTTAGGAAGTTGTTCTTGTTTTATCTAACATTATGCTTAATTTAATGTACTGTAATTGCTATTTTGCACTTTTTATTATGATAGGAAGGGGAGTGAATGGGGAGTCAGTAGATTGTATTAATCTTTTGCAAAGTCAAGTCTAATTCTCTGCCTTTGCAGTAATAACACTCTTTCCCTTCTCCCAGCACTCTCCTTTGATTTGTGTATATAATGAATGTGTTGAATGCAGGTCTGACTCACACTGTCTCTATGAGAGTGCTGTGTCCCACCTGGTCCCAACTTTACTTATTTCATTTTGTGTCTTGTGTCTTCCTCTTTTTCTAATCTTCCATTGCCCCTACTCTGGTTTAATCTCTCCCTGCAGGTCACAGAGTATAGACACTTATTGGATGCGGCAGGAGCAGAAACCACATCCTTTTCCCAAAGAGCAGTTGGTTTGAACTGCCGACTTTGCAGTTAGCAGTCCAGTGTTCATCCTATTTTCAACCCAGAATCACTTAAATGAATTCCCTACAAACTGTAAATTATCTTAGTTTTAAAAAAAGCAAAACCAGGAACTTAAAAGCATCATCCCAAACCTTTAACCTTGAATAAGTGTTCATAAGTGGCATAGAACCCGTGTAAAGCACAAGAGGAGGAAGGAATGCTGAAAGCCATTTTAAGGTCGCTGGTGACTTGTCAAACCTGCATCTTGCCTGCCTGGGTATAGATTCTATCAAGCAGAATTCAAGGTACAATTGGTATCTAAGGACATGGCCATGGCACCCTTTCAAAGGTCACTTAGGTAGGTTTTTGTTATCTGACCTCATTGAATAAAGTTAGGTTTTGAGGTTCGGTACATACTGCTCCCATAGCCAGCGTGACCCCTGCTGGTGAGTCTGACAAACAGCATCAGAAACAAGTGTGACTCTGACCTGTACTTCTTGCCTCATCAAGGGAAAAGGGACCCAGTGTTTGTGATGAATGAGGCCATGTCTGTTTTAGACTTGGGATTCACAAGACCTGAGGAGGATGCTCCTTGTTTTTATTGCTGAGAAGGACACCATTCTTATTTTTAAAAGGGCAGAAGTTAAGAGGGTTTAACTTCATTGTATTTCCAATCTCTCCTTCCAAGCTATCCTTCACACTACTTTTAGTGGATTACTTTTTTCAAAATGTCAATTGGAAAATGTTAATTCTTGGGTAAAACATTGAATTCAAATTCTTTTACAAGTGCTTTATAAGCTTTCCCCAAACTACATTTTCAGCTCTTTTTTAGCAATGTGATTTGCTTTTAACTAGCAATGTTGGCCTTCTTTCATATATTTACATTTACTTTGTGTTCAAAGAAGTTTGTGGGTTTTTTTTTTTTTTTTTTTTAAAGAATGCTGTTGTTGCTAAATGCTGTGAGTTGGTTTCGATTCATAGAGACCTTGTTTAGAGTTTCTGAGAAGTGGCTGGTAAGACTGAACAGGAGACCTTGCCAGTTTGAAATGCCCTTGAGGCAGAGTGCTTATCCCATGATACCACACCATAGCTTTTAATTAAGTAAATGTAGGGTTTCTTGGAATTTGGTGTGTATGTGTTTTCTGCCAATGGCACCTGACAGGTTGATTTTCACAGACTTATTTTACTTGGGCTTCTTCTTGTTGGGAGTCCCTGGGTTATGCAAATGATTAACACAGAGCTGCCTCAAAAATAAAGACCAGACAGTCTATGTCTGAAAAATCAGCCATTGAAAACCCTACGGAGCACAGTTGTGTTCTGATGCACATAGGCACCATGAGTCAGAATCTACTCGGTACCTGGTGGACTCACCAGCCCCTGCTCTACTGTTGGTTCACACCATTAAAAAAAAAAAAAAAATCTGTGATCAACGTTTAAATATTGGCAGACATCACATAAAAGCCAGAAATCTTCTTATGAAAAATCAGAGGGTCTGATAACCATGATCCCATGTTCCTGTATGACAGCAATGCAAAGGGTCTGAGAAGTACCCTTTTCAAATGGAGCTTGCACGATGCCATTGACTCCTGTCTCACCTCCTCTGCCTCTCACCAACTCCACCAAATTCCCTCCATACAATGACTTTGTAGCACTGTGCTTGTGTGGTTGCTGTTCTTTCTGGCCAACCCATTTCACATATTTATACGGCCTGTTCTATGGGCAGTTGAATTCTGGTGAAATTTTAGAGAGGGTGGTAAAGATCATCAGAAACTCTTCCCAAGTCATTCAAGAACATGGCTGAGATGGGGGAACAGTACACACATCTGAGAGAAAAAGGTTTTGGAATCAAGTGTATAAATGATCTTTCTTGCCAACTCAATATTTCATTAAGGGGAAAAAGCATATCCCCTAATATCATCAGTGTTTAATAGGAAGAACTTCAGAGCAGTCTCTCTCTGTAAAGGTAGAAGAGGAAAATGGTACAATGCTCTGAGAAGGCTCAGCTCCACGTATAGAAATCACTTGTTACAATAGAGCTATGAACAATTACACAACTGAGGTGAGAATTCAACCATTTCCAACCACTGAGAAGAAAGCAAGTTGTGAAAAGATAAAAATAGAATCAAGGCAGACCAAGAACTAAATTAATAATCTGCATTTCTTAAGAAAACCTTATCTGAGTTCTCTGGGCCTGCAGGGATGCATTCCTACTGTCTTCAGCTCTGGGGAACAACATTTTATTCTTGTTTTTTGTTGTAATCACTAACATCTTCTAAAATGTCAGAATAATCTTCATAAACAGTAGTAGAGGTTAATCTCCCAGATCGTCCTTCATAAATTTCTTCATTCTTAGCAATTATTTTTTGCCTGTAAAGGAATGGAAGAAGTATAATTATAGATGCAAATGTTAGAAAGGGACATACAATATTTAGGGGAAGAGAAATGTGACTTCATTTCTTCGCTGGGTGGCAGTGGTTTTGAACTGAATAAGATAATCATACGCAGATGACAAATTCTCATTGTAGGAATTTCTCACTACATCAACACAATTAATAGTTTTTCCTTTCTTAAACTATTGACTCAAATTAGTTGTTGTTTTTTTTTTTTTAAGGTTTTTATTGTGGATTGAGTGAAAGTTTTCAGGGCATATCATCAGTTTCGCATTCAAACATTCATATACCTTGTTTCATTACATTGATTATAATACACTCCACATACCAACAGTTAACAGAGTTTCTCTCTATCCTCTTTAGCTTTTTTTTGGGTGGGGGGGAACTTTGCCTTTTTGGAATTTACAGTCTCGGCTTTTAGGGAAGGTTTTTACATTTATCTGTGGGTATCCAGGGCTCATGTATGGAATTACTAACCAGCATATCTGAATAATCAGATAAGGGACATTTTGTTATGTCTGCTAGGTGGCTAAAGTCTGATCCTCAGAGCCTA